AGCCTAATATATATCCTAAGTCGCGCTTTCGAGACATGAGACTCTGAAGTTCATGTGTATTTATTTTCTCTTTTCTTTATTTTAAATTTGTAAGAAGCATTTGCATGTGTCTAATTAGGTGTCTAATTAGCTAACAAATGGAACCCCCAAGAGCCGGGACAGGAGTGAGCCAAGTGCCACGCTTGCATCAGGTAATCAACTAAAATGCGCGCCAAATTAGTTACGGAAAATTAAAAATTCCTTTAAAAAATAAGTTACGATTGTTAACTTTCCATTTTGAAACGAAAAACCTCACAGTTTTAAAAAGCAACAAAACTCTATTCAGCTCATTCATGATAGTTTAAACGCACTGCGTTCTAGTACTTTCTATGTTGTGCGCGGCCATCTGTCTGATTTCCATTATTAATCTTTTCGTAACCATCTTTTCAAGTCAGAATGACTTACAGAGTAGCTTTTACATATAACAGAGCATAAGGTCAACCTAAAAGTATAAAAATTATCTAAATAGAAATTAACTGATTTATTTTTTATTAACTTTACCACAATCAAGTTTCTTAAGTATATATTTCTTACTCCATGGTTTTCATTACTTGCTAGAATTAGGTAGAATCTTCTAGTATAAATCATCTAGTAGAATTAGAATAACCAATGGTATTAACTAATTCATAAAATGATACGATTTCACAAGGCTTTCTAACGCTTAAATTTATTTTTGAAACTAATGTATTGTAATTGATTTATATTTGTGGAAAATCAGTTAAATAAATTAAACTTATCTACGAAACATCATGTTGCCGACATCAATAGTTTTCTTCTCTCTTCTTTGAAACTAAACCGTAACAACTTTTTTGAACCTAAACTAGTAATATTCGTTTACTATTGCATGAACTGGACGTAGGTGACAAGGCGGTTGCCTCTAGCAGAAGGTTAAACTAGGATTTATAAATATGAAATATGTCATATTATCAGTTTATTTCTCTATGTTTTAAATAAAAACTTATTTACTCCATTTTTCATTTTAAAGTTTATCGGGGTGAGAACCATTTAGTTTTTATTGTGCTATATCCCTATTTAATTTCCCTCATAAGGATACGGTTGGTTTCATTTACGATTCATTCTTGGAATAGCTACAGTTGGTTTAAAAGAAGTCACCTCTTAATTTAATTTTCTGTTAAGACTAGAATGCAAGGATTTATGTTAGGATACGTCTTTCCCTTTCCGAGTTGTTGTTATAATGAGAAAATGAAATTCATTCTTGAATTCTTAATTAAATGGATTCTAGAGTGAAAATTTTTAATTCTTAATTTTTGCATGGAAGAATTTGGACAAATCCTTCTGGCTAATTCCGAGGAACAGATATTAAAACTGCGAAAACACCACAATACTAGTCAATACCAGGACTGAAAAAGTACTCCTAATACTTGTAATAAATAGTAATAAATAAATACTGCTTTATTAAAGTAACTATAATGTGAAAGATAATTTAAAAGAAAAATTTTAATTAATATTTTATCAAAATAGAAATTAAGTTACAAAAATAGCTGATCATATTCAATAATGACTAAGATTTTTATGCAATAAAGAATAAAAAAAAATATTTGCCTACGACTGCCAGAATAGATAACATTGATGGTTCCCTTCACACTCAGATCTCGGCGAAACGACTAGCTACACAAATAGTGTTGTGCTTTTTTTTTAACATGTGTAATATTTTTGTTGCTATGAGGTTACACTTCTTACAATACTGTAGTGTGGTGAATTTAATATAAAAATTGTAGCGATTTTTTCCCTAGGGAGAAAAAGTATTATTTCTTCACGTGCTAGCTCCGTAAATGTGTATTAATTGCAAAGAGATTTTTAATAAATGTATTAACTTAAAATCCTTCATATTAAAGGTGTTGTGATGAATATTTCATGCTCATTATATACCATTCTCTGCAGATGCAATCTCCGAAAGCATGAGACAAGTCAGTTTTCGGAAATAGCAAAAACGATGTTGGGGGCTGACATAGTACACAGTAAATTCACAATATTCATAAGCAGTCTGAAAAAATAAAAAATAAAAAATTTTTTTGAATTTAGATCAATATAGATTTGGAACAGAGAACGTATTTTTAATTGAATTATTTATTCTTTCATTTAATGCAACAGAATATTAGAAATGTGAAAGACATGGACATTAACATGGAAATAACATAACATTTGCAAAGGAAACATTTTCTGCAATGTAAAACGAACAGAATGCAACAAAACTGCAATAATAACAGTATACTTACCAGGCCTTTACAGTTGGATCGAGATCATCGTGTTTTCGTTTTTGCATTAAATTCATGAAGTCAGCTATTTATTATATAATCTCAGCGCTTAAGATTGCCTCTGATATTAGCATCACCTTTGAAAGATTTTATAATTTTATCATTCCATGAAACAGGAAGCTATGCACAGAACGCTGCAATTAAATTTTTTCGCTTCAAAGAAAACAAACGGTAGTTTTCAGGCTTCCGTGTCACTCATGCGTGTCATTAAAACGAAAAAACAAAAATAAGAATCCCACTTAAACGCCATTACACTAAGAGAAAATGATGTTATCGGATATTATGTCCAATCATAAGTACGGATTTTTCCCCATGCGCGTGGCGCGGTACAGAATGCTTATATGCTTCCGACTTAGTAGTTATATTCTAGTATCAAGTTTATATAAAACATCAATGTTGTTTAATGACACATCATTTTACATATTTTTAATGTTTTTCTCAGTGCCACAAATTTTATAATAATCTTTCCAGTATACTCTGAAAACTTTAATATGTAAGAAGAAATTATTAGTAGTATTTAGACTGGGAACTAAGAATAAAACTGCAAGCAATAATTTGATTTACTACTCGGACATTAAATTGCTGAAAGGTGGACGTGGAATTTTCTCCATTTCTATTATTAAGGCTCAGCAATAAAGATTATTTCGGTGAATTTTAAACAAAAATACCAAACGCTTAATCGTTTGGATAATACTACAACGGCGGTAGTGTCTTTAAATAAAATATATAAATAATTAAATAAAGATATAAAAAATTCTAGGAAAGAATAATAACAGTTGTAACATCGAAATGAGTATGATTAATGAACAAATAGTTGCAACCAATTCTGCTTACCAACCTAACAGATAGCCATGGGTTAATCAAAATAGTATATCAAAATATGAGTAATGGAAATAAACACAGAATTTGCTGAATACGTAGAATACTAATACGTTTTTTATTGAACACGCATAGGATAAAAAAGTATATGAAAAGCATTAATGGTAATTGTTCTAAAATAAATAACTTCGGTTTTTTTTTCGTATCCCAAATCCGCTGTCCAATCTTTCGTAGGAAGAAACTAATTTTGAAATAATTCGCTTTTTTTTAAAATAATTTGCTTTTTTAATTGTTGCTATACTTAATCATGTAAGTGGGAATCATGTCAAGAAAACGTTACGAAATAGCATACTGTTATAACTTGCTTACTACAGTAACCAGCTTGTTGGCTGCCAAGAAACAGACAGCAGAATAAACACTGCATGCCGACCAGACAAACACACGAATGTTTTATGCTGATCAGGTAATCGATTATATAAAGCATACCTAACTACTCAGTGTCCTATTTCCTATAGTTATTTTAAAGTAAGTTCCTTTCTGAAATAACAGAAAGAAAGGTAAAAATTTTTAATTAGGTAAAAAAGCAACCTTATTTTAGAGAAGGTTTTGAATAAAACTCTGTCCATTTCTTAGGTTATCACACACAGATCCCTCTTCTACAAGACAAGAAAATTCTCTTGAGGAAGAGGGACCGGGGCATTCTGCGATTTTCCTTAGCTTCATGTTTATGCTGTTAAGAACTGAGTGACTGACCATATTTCACATTCAGCGAGGTGCTCGAATATCTTAAACATTTTAACCCTTTGTTGCATCATGTCCACTCTAGTAGACAAAAGTTTAAATTTGTTTATTCTTCCGAAAATGCCTTAACAGATTCCATTCCTGTGTTTATTCATTCTATATTATTAGAACTTTCAACTGTCGATCATAGATGGCTGTATAGCATCACTAAGTAAAGCACTGCTATTTGGAAAATGGCTGCTACTTCTGTTTCCAAGTAAGTACAGTTTCCCCATAGTAAACATTATATAATATTGCTTACATTTTCTTATACTGCCATTTTTTATTCATAATTAGTAATTTTAGACATTTTATTTTAAATGTCAGTTTGAGAAAATTGTGGAGTGGGTAGATAAAGATATCCCGAAAAGAGTGAATTGAAACCCAAATGCTTATCAAGCCAAAACACCACTGGAAATGGTGGCAAGGAATTTCTGGAACATTTGACATTTAAATCCAATAGGTACAGGGTACAAAATCGTAGCAAAATGAATTCAATCACAATCGACGAAATGAAGGTATTTTGGGGGATCTGTATGTGCATGTCAGTTGTAGATTTACCATTTAGAAGAGGGTAATGATCACTGCAAACAAGGCAGGAAATGATTCCAAATGCAATGACCGTAAATCGTTGGGCAGAGATTTGTATGCATATACGTATATGCATGCTGTTCACTGTACTGAACAAACTGTAGCAATTATTTAAAACGAAATTTGAATAAAATTATTTTTTTAAATTATTACTAAGGTTAAGTAGAAAAAATACAAACATTTTCGTTTAACTTCTCTAGATTATTTGTATGCAACAAAGGGTTAACTTCACATTATGAAGCTTATATTTTGACGCCGTGAATATAAGTGATATTGGATTCTACGCATAAATTACAGGAAGCTTGCAAGCGCTCTCATTCTCACACACGCGTTAAATTTTATAAAATATTTACAAATGGAGAAGCACACGACCCGGGCGACAGAATCCAAATTATCGTTCATCTTCTACTACTGACTTGAAAAATTACCTACACACGTATATATATTATATTATCCTCATATCTTCCTTTTCCTAATAAACGTCCTTTGCCACAGCCAGCTGAAAGAGAGCGTATGGTGTGTGGATGAGCATATGAAACACTGCTTCACATCAACTCAGAGGAAAGTTTTCAATCACGTGGTTGCGGGAGCCAGGCAGTTCCTCCTAGAACTTTGTGTCCCGGGACTCATTCAAGAAGGTAATCATCCTTTCCTCCTCTCTCATATCAAGTGAAAAATCTTCTTACGATCCTTTTTCTGATTATATGATTATAAGATTGGAATGCGTATTTCATGTAAACAAAATTTTTATTTTTTATTCTTATTACATAATTTTTCTTATTAAATAGAAGCTGTATACAATATGAACTTGGTTGTAGCGTTCCTAGAAAAATATGACCGTATGTTGCACAAATTCGAACTCGGGACCTTCGGACTGCCGGACTAATAAACTGATTTCTTACACTGAAAGAGTACGCGGAGTCAAGATCTTAATCCTTACGCACTGCATTGCAAAATCTGTAATTAGTTGCTTGTTAATCATACATACGTACATAAGTGAGAGATATTCACGTCTTAGTGATGTACAGTAAATTAAAAATGATGTTTATTAACAGAAAAAATGCTTGAATATACTTTTAAGTAATCTAGGTCTGGCGAGCAACATCCAGGATAAATTTGCCAGTTAACAGTTACTACAGAATTTTCCTTAGCACTCTAACTGTAAATAATTAAAACATAATAAGAATTATAAACACAAAAAATTATGAGAACAGTAACTCTCACGCTAATCATTGATGATTTTTAAAAAAATAAGAAGATAAAGAAGGTTATTTTCAGTGCATTGATTCCTAAGCTGAAACAAACTGTGAATCCTATCTTTTGCGAATTTAGTATGCGTATGTGAGATTTTTGTTTGGTTATGAAACTGACTGTTAAATAAAGCTGTTTTAAAGAAAATACTGTGGTGGACAAGAAAATTTATTTGGAAAAAAAACAAACTTTAGAATATTTATACATTTAATCCAACTAATGAAAACCAGCGAAAAGCTTTTTTTGATTTCAAAACGTGGCATCAGTGGATAATCCCAGAATAAAAGTAACAAACTGATTAAATATGACTGAAATATGAATACATCTGGTTTCTCGAAACTGAATTTTTAATTCTTACCTTTTGAATACGAAGGATTAAAACATTATGTACATTTCGTATTCGAATAGATAGCATTGCTGGTTTGAAATTTAAAATGTATCGAAATTGTTCTGAATAATTTCTGGAGTTAATATGCCGTGATACTTTATTCTCGTTGAATTAAACCTAACAGCATTTAATCTGCTTAAAATTATTTCTGTTTGAGAGACATAGGTTTTGAAAAAGTTTTCTGATAGTACTAAATATTTGCTTAGTTTTCTATTCATCAGCACACTGAAATATATTTCTTTAAAAATCAAACTCCGGTAGCTTTCATATATTCAAGTTGAAATATTGCAAAGAGTTGTCGGTCAATCTTTATTTTTCGAAACCAATGTTAATCACTTTCTATTTGAAAAAAAAATATTTCTAATGTATACTTAAAAAATGAACAATAGCCAGAATGAATAAGTATCGCTCTCTGAAAACATTGTTTCAACTACATTACTGCGTTATCTTAATACTGTGGTATACACTGGTGTGCAAAAATTAAGGACGAAGTCGAAAAATTAGCATATCAGCTGAACGAAGAGGCAGAGCGGACAGAAAGACCCATCAGGAGATTAAGTAAGGTGATGTACGGTAGCACATGCGCAGATATGCAGGTAGACGTAATGGGGGAGCGTCTGAGTAGTATAAAGCATGTTGTCGGTGTAAGATCAGTATTTCTGGCAAAGAGATTGCACGCCGTATAGCAGTTAAAATCACACCGAGTTGCTGCCTCAGCGAGAAATGGCGAATAATCAATCTGTTAGACGACATCTGGATGCTTTTACCCGAGGTCGAATCATTGGGAAGTTGGAGGAAGGCCGCAGTGTGACAAGTGTGGCTGCAGAGTTCGGAATTGCTCACAGCATCGTTTCACGACTTTGGAGACAATTTCAAACTACAGAAACAGCTATCCGGGGGTTTAGTAGTGGTCGTCCACGAGGAACCACACCCGCAGATGACCGGTATATTGCCTTACAGACCAGAAGAAACAGACGGCAGACAGCGGGAGAAATCGCTAGACACACGACACAGGTGATTGGAAGACCGATATCGCGTTTTACCGTGGCCAGAAGACTGCACGGTGGTGGTCTGTTTGCACGACGCCCTGTACGGTGTGTACCTCTAACGCCTGCCTATCGGAGAAGGCGTTCTCTGTGGTGCCGGGAACACCGGAATTGGAGAGTGAATGGGGACGAGTACTCTTTACAGATGAGAGCAGATTCAGTCTGAGTAGCGATTCTCATCGCATACTCATCTGGAGAGAGCGGGGAAGCCGCAATCATTCCTCGAACATCATTGAAAGGGACAGGTATGGAGGTGGCGGTGTTCTCGTTTGGGGAGGCATCACGCTTGGTAGTCGTACAGACCTTCACATCTTCGACGCAGGTTCAGTTAACGGGACCCGTTATTGTAACGAGATTCTTCTTCCATATGTGCGTCTTTTTAGAGGCGCTATGGGTCCGCAGTTCCTTTTCATGGACGGCAATGCACCATGTCATCGCACAGTAGCTGCCGAACACCTGTTAAAGAGTGAGGATATTGAACGTATGGATTGGCCGGCACGATCTCCGAATCTCAATCCCATCGAGCATGTATGGGATTTTCTAGGCAGACGCATGGCAGCTCGTACCTTACCACCAGTAACGATTCCGGAGCTTCGATTGGCGCTGCAAGACGAATGGGCAGCAATGCCTCAACAACTCATTGACATCCTCATTCTCAGCATGGGCAGACGCTGTGAAACCTGCCTAGCAGTCAGGGGAGATCATATCCCCTATTAAAGACCGGATGTTTCTTGCTGGACACCCATCACAGGGATGTTTCGGCCTTCAGTCGCATTGCGCTCCATGCTACTTTTTCAATAAAGCTTCTTATCCCTCTGATTTCTCTTTTAGTAAGTGTTGCTTACATTACTCATGTCCTTACGTATTGGGGATCTTACGGTATTAAATGTGTTGATTTGGAAAGCTTTTGTACAAAGTTATATTGAAAAATCCGTCTCGTCCTTAATTTTTGCACACCAGTGTATTGCAGAGAGAAATATTGGTAGAATGAAACACTCCCATGGAGAGTATATGTCATTTACCATGTTTCATTTTTTTAAATGGTCTTTGGTTTTTCTTAAGGAAAATTGCTTGAATAATTCATCTCAGACACTAATTTTCTTATTAAAGCCAAAGCGGGACTTTGAGAATTTGTACAGAGTTTGGAAACTGCAATTAATAGCTGACAGACCAGAGTGAGTTTGTAAGGTAGTTTAACATCCCTCAGTGAGGGCTGTTGTGGTGTTTGTGGTTAGCATACCCAGCTAGCAACGAAAGATGTGCAATATTCGAATGTACAGTTGATTTTTCAGTTCACTGTTTCTAGATATCTACAGTGGAGGATCTAAAAATGCTGGGCGGTTATATTTGGGATTTGGTCAACTGAATTTCACGTCTCTTTTAAGTCGTCCTGTAAGAAGAGAAAAATCTAAGATATCACCCTCTCCCAACGTTCTTTAGTTATTTAAATGATTACCCTGTCCAGATAAACATTAGAAGATCCGTGTTTCGAATCCCAATAACACAACTGAATTTTTATATTTTCTTCTTTAAAAAGCTTAATAGTCTCACAATAAGTTTATATAAATTTGAAAAGTTTATAATAATTTTTCAGAACCTTATTTATAAGCTTTGGAAAATATAATAATCGCCCCACAAGTCAAGTCAAAACAAAATACATAGAGCATAGTGGATTAAATCAGATAAAAAGATAGAAACCTTTTCTTCTCAGCATTTAACTTCCAGCAATGTCCAGTTATCGAGCACACAATAAATAGCTTTTAGCATAAACCACAGTGCATAAATTGAGCAGAAATTAGAGTGTACTTTTCCCAAATAATAGCAGAAATTAAACTGTTATGAATTTCATATAGCCATTCGCGAAACTTTGTAGTCAGACAATTTGAAAGCGGTAATTCCTAATATAGTTTAGTTATGTTGCGAGAAAGCAGCATATGCATTTTTGCTTTTTGTACAAGAAAATGCATTGTTTTCAAATGTGGAATCTACATGATAGATTTTTTTTAGAACTGCAATTTTCAAGATAAAAATTTTGAGCTCAAATTCTTTTTATAATCGTTACTGAATTATCTGAACTTCATTTGCAAATATTTCTATGTCTGTATACGTATTCTCTTCATGTCCCTTTGCAGGCTATTTAAAGCATGCTCCTTGCTATAGAAACGTGACTTTATCTGAAAACAAGTGTGCGCCTCTGTATCGACATTTAATTGAGCTGTCAGAGAATGTGGATGAGAAAAGAAATGTCGATGATGGACTCAGAAAATCTTGTTGGTAAGCTGTTTATTTTATTAATATGATTATGACTAAATAATGAACATGGTTTTACAGTTCCATAATTCAGTATTATTCATAATGAATGATCCCCTTTTAAATTAATTTATTTTTTAAATTAACAAACATAGAGTGACACTTAATATGTATTATTAAAAAATTATCCAAATTTTAATTACAAATATTTCTTGTGGCTTTCATTAGTTTCAAGAAAGTCTTCAAGATGGTAATCTGATTCATACCCTACTTGTTGCGATTACTTTTTACTGCTGCCACAACAATAACAGTCTGAAGGTTTCTGGTAAAGATGCCATGAAAGAAATCTCTTGAGAGTAGCTCCCCCTCAAACAGATGCATTCATAAGATCTATTTACCTAAGATTTCTTCTATGAAATAGAGTACACTACAGTCAACTCGAAGTATTTCATTAAGAAATTTATAAATCCATTGGAAAGATAGTCGCCACTTACGAATCCTTTCAGCAGATAATGGAAGTATTTTATAACGTCAACAAAACTAACTCCGAACTGTGAAAACCAGCTGAAAACTGTCGCACTAAAAGCTTCCTTCTGTGCATTCAGCATTTTTTCTTAAACATGCTTTTCGTGAGCCATAATGATAGCAGTTTCACATTTCCCGATATTCTTTAAGATTCAGACTCCCTTCTCATTTGCTTGTATATCAGAGTAAGGCACTGTTACTACCTGAAGAACTGTACTTCTCTCAGCCCTGGTCAATCACTTTGAATAATAAACTATTAGGCAAAAGTTAGTCTTATACTAATGTGACTTCGGGAAGTTTTTCTATAAAACCCAAACCTGTACATGACTGAATATTTGCCTAAATGTGTATTTGATACTAATGTGTTTTCCTTTCCTTATACACTTTTAATCGCACTGTATAATAAATAGTTCTTAAACATGGCCCTTCCAAAGTTTATGTTAGAGATTATTTAGGTGTCCTTTTCATGATGGTAAGCTGCCTTTTACGTAATCATAATATTCCAATAACTTTATCAAAAAGTCATCTTTTATTTATGGATGAGCTTCTTAAGTCTCTTCAAATATTCATAGGGTCTATTAGCTATTTTATATGGCTGTCCTTTAAAATAATAGGCGGAGAGTATGTTTTTTCAGAAAGGGTGAACTCAGAAATCGGAACTCATGAATATGAAAATTTTGTAAAAATGTTTTTACTGAAATTGTTTCTTTGTTTAAAGGATTTAGAAATCAAACACATATAACTATCACTCTTCTTATTTTCACTTGTGCCGAACTTCATAGTTTAGCATTAACTTGTCGTAAATGCGCTTAATACTCTTGCATTAGCCTATAGCGGATAGTATTATTAAGCGCATATTCTGTTTTATGGTAAAATTTTGAGTCATTTATGCAACTTTTTGCATATTATCCTAGTGTGAAAAATCTATGGCTGTAATTGTATAAAATGTCCATTGGTATGGCATGAGAAAATTTTAATCACTACGTAATTTATTGCATATTATACCTAAAGAGAAAAATAATTTGGTTGTAACTGATAACTCATTTTTAATGCACAAACATGAAACGTACATAGGTTCTTTCGCTTTTGGAGTAAACAATGAGAGAAAAATCTCCTCTAACTTCTCCAGTATTCGATCTCCTGATTTTCCGATTGCTAGCCCAACGTGCTACTACCTTTACATTACGCCATGAAGGTACGTAGTGAAGAAGAAGAAAATTCCTTATGAGTTAAAAGAATGCTTGAGACATTATAACTAAATTAACGTTTAAATAACACGTAAGATAACCGACTGAATTTTCTTCTGATCGAACTTCAAATAATATCTGATAAAATTTCACTCAGAATTCCACTTTAAAACCTAAGATCAATCTGTATCTGCGTATACCTTGCTTCCAAAAGCGGATCAAGCGGGACAACAATCTGGCGATTCAAGATTTTTCAATTAAAGAAAGGTAGCGAAACAAATTGTTTAGTCCAGTTAAGTAATATATTCGTTAATCTGCTTAGCTTATAAATAACAAACCAAGAAGGATGTGATAGATAAAAACTATACACCTTTACTTTACCTTTTCATATTTTTAGATCTTTTACTTTTCTAAAGCGATCACCTTCGGCTGCAGATAATTTTGGATTTCTGAGAAACGAACATATTCTGTTAACTTCAAAAACCTAAACTTAATTATGTTCTGGAATATTGGTCACTATCATAGTATCTTACATGAGTCATCTTAGGTTTGTGAACGCAATGAAAGGTTTCTAATACATTTTGGTTTTGATAGCATCGACGAAAATCTTTCATTGACGACTGTTAAACAAACATATGACAGCAAACCATCTGCGGTATGATTTCATTGTGTTGGAAGCCTTCGCTATTCATAAGATACATTAATGATTGTTGTAAATCCTAATGCTAACATAAAGTTTGAACTTCATCATAATCTTTTCAGTCCTCTGAGCAACTGGTTCAGTGTATCTTAAGCGTCTTTATTACACTATTTTATTTCGTTCTTGAGTAATTATATTAATAATAAGTTGAAACGTCGAACATCATTAATCAATTTAACGACATGTGTTATCTTGCATTACAAATTTCTTTCCTATTGTGTACTATTACCTGCGTCAAAAACAAAACATAATAATAATGACAAAATTCTAAAATAACGCAAACTACTGTTATTTGAATCAAAGTTTGATTGCGGGACTCAAATTTGTTTACGGGATGCTTTTGTACGATATGCGGAACTACTTAAATATTAATTCATTGTGTAACTGAAAATATTTCTTGACCGTAGGATAGACAGTCTCCCTGACTCCGAGGAGGAAAATGCCATCACTTTAGTCTTAGTCAAAATTATGATAGCCGATGATCTGATAATCATTAATTATGCTATCAGACACAAGCAAAAATTATGGTATCAGATATTTTTGGTTCTTAAAAACTCAGCAGAAAAAACGTTAATATACGTATATTATAACTAGAATGGTGTAAATTTTGTTTTCAGTTTTTCCAGTCATTTGAGGCCTTGATCTAATACGAGCCTTTAGGGTGTCGTTTTCGAGTGCTTTTAGGAAGTTAAGAGTGGTACTGTTTTTCAGAATGTAATGTATTGGTTCTGGTTTGTACTCGCACAAACACATTAGCATAAAGTTGTTCAGGAAACGTAGCACGACTGCACTCTTACCTGGTTTCCAAATATGAACTCAACTCCAACAGTTTTTACCTCTAATACGTAAAAGCTTTTTAAACCTTACGGGCCACAAAATATCATCTGGAAAAGGATGGGTTTCAGAATTTGTTTTACTGATATTTAAATTCTAAAAAACTAGTTTTGTTACGGTTTAAGAGAGACATGACTTTAGAAATAGAAAGGAAATATTTGAACGATTTTCCGGTCAATTTCTATTTTAGCGAAGTTCGTAGAGTTCAGAATCGATGAAACAAACCAAAATTTCTGAAGGTATGAAAACTTTAATGGTCAATGGATAAGAATAAGAATCAAATATAGAAGGATATAACGCAACTCTACGCCTAGTATTTCACTTTTGGATCAATTCAAACGCGTTATAAGATTGTGTCAAATGGCTATTTAAAAAACAATTCCCAGAATTCACAACAGTTAATAACACATAGCACCACATCTGAGATAACGCAAATTACTGATTTTAGCACAGACACAGACATTAAATTTTGTCTAGTGCAAGCATATGACAAAAGGTATGTAGATTACAGATACACAATAAATTCTACAATCTAAATGTGACCTACACATTTGTTTTATTTAAATTTAAAGTAGCTTTCAGTCGTTAAATTTGAAGTTTAAAAGTCACTTTTCAGAATTTTATATTTGGGCTAAGTTAGATGTTGTTTTTATTCTGTATTTTTTCAACAGTTTTTTTTTTTTTTTAATTTTTTTAGACAGCTGAGGAACTATAGAAAAGCTCCAACAGCAAAAGAAATGTCTAATACCACGCAATCAGCTGTAGTAGTTAATATGCAGTAGACCCTTGCCAAAAGCATGTATTACGTCATTAACACATCTAACCCATCGCCCTTACGACAAAAGAGCGTTCACGAAATTAACTTTTCGTGAAAAATTGTGTTAAGTATAATTTAAATTGTGAAAATATAATTTAAACAAACGCGAATATTGTTGTAAATAAAAAGAAAAAGTGTAATAAGTGTAATGTGTACACCACATGACTTCTTTGTACGGAAGCGCGACTAAGGATATGTATTAAATTATACGCAATTTTCCTGCATTTCATTTAAATATATTGAATTAACAGTTAACGAATTTTAAATTAAATCTACTTCGTCGATAGAACAAACCGCAATAGAATAAATGCCCTCTTTAAAGTTCACTGTATTTATTTACGATAGCGACAGTTTGGCGCCAAGTTCTCTTAACAGCGTTACATCTCATTCATTTTATAACTCAGAGTGCACAAAAATTATATCATCTGAAGAATTACCACATGTTCTATTCAAATACAATAATAAATCTTAAACGATGTATAAAAGAAATTAAACAAATAAAAAAGAAACAGTTTTTCCACAGATGATTCACCGCTACTTACTTAATGCGCATGCGCTACTAATTAACTCAGTCCTCACATCGCGGCCAGGCAAGTACACATAAAAATCCAAAATATTTTCATTAAAAATTGAAAGATATAGAAAAACATAAAACACCAAGTGCAGTTAAAACCATTTTTACAATTAAAATTATAGTTTCTACCCAAAAGCAAGTTATTCGGCCAGCGAGAAAGAAGCAGATTTTTCGGTGCACAAAACTGATTTTTAGTTTACTTTTGGTCTCACTCCGCAAAAAGACGCCGAAGGCATAGAAACTGACTTAATTTGTTGCGAGCGCTATGCTGAGTCAATATATGAGATAATTTAATAAGGTAAATGATAATTCCAGAATGAATAAAGCATAATTTAATTCGCAATAATGAAAGAAGACGTTACTCTGTTGTTGCGTAGTTTCTCTAGA